TCCCCCACTGTTCCCCATCAGTTCCCCATGACCTGTGTGTTTGGTGAGAATTTCGGACATAGTTACAAAAGCATCAGAGTGTCTAATTTTAAGATAACAGTTTGAACTATTTAAAACCTTCCAAACATGGCCGTAGCTTGTCGTGACTCGAACTGGTGTAGCTTGGTGATGGAGAACTGGCATGTTTGTACCTAGTTAAGCCCTCAGCATCTATCCATTATTCAGTCAAAGTGAGAATTTTAAGCAGCAGCCTCCATGCTTATCCTATTGTAGACTTCATGTTGGGGAGGTCTCGATGTGCAACATCAGCAAATAACTGAAAAGTACCGTTTAGTGTCAAGCCCGCTGCCAACGTCTGTCTGTGAACGACACGAGTTCGTGGACAAAGGATGATCAGTTTTGACTTGTAAAAAAATGAAGGATTTTCAGAAACTGTTTAAAGAAAGGCATTTTAAAATATAACTCAATGGTTGAGGCTTTGAATATTTTTAGAAAAGAGGTTCATGAAGTTAGGTTTACACAAAAAAATGACTTGCATGGAATAACCGCATTGATGAATCGTGGTTTAAGGGTGTGAGTGAGTTGGGTTTAACGCTGCTTTTAACAGTATTCCAGTCATATCACCGCGTGTGGGAGGAAAGCCCAAAGTGATGCAGGTCTCAGATGTTTACCACTTCGGTGAAACCCACGAGCACGGGTATGGTGCTGACCAACCTAGAAACATAATCGGGGCGAAACGGGATTCGAACCCACAATCATAGGTTTCTGGCGTGCCTAAGGGACGCAACTCTGCACAGCGAGTCACTGCGCCTTAGACAACTGGGCCACCCGTGCCCCCTTGTGGTTTTAGGGTGTTTGTGGGGTAGAATGTTGTATATGAGTGGGCATTTATGTATTTTAAGTGTTTGGTGTTGCAGATTAATGAATTGATCTTTGCATAAGAACTTTATGAAAAACAATGCCCTTGGAAAGGCGGAAATAGAGAATCTCACCCTTGTGTCTTTTCATATCAAATATATCAACACAAGTTGAAAAAGTGGAAAATCTCTGAGGTTTGCTGAGGCAATAACCATCTATATGATATTGAAAACTCTCAACACTACTGGGCTTATTCAATGACATTGCATGTAGAGATGATAGATCACTTCTTCCCAAGGCTAGGGTGTTAACTGACTATAAAAGCCCAGTTTCCATCCTTGCCAAACTAGGCTGGAATTATGGAGTTATAGTTTGGTTGGGCTAACGAGTCTCTGCATAGTCCAATTGAACTCGCGTAACAAAATCATGCCACCAACATAGAGTTAAAAGATATTTTTTCAAATCTTTTCATGTTTTTAATGAAGGTTCTCACGTGAAGTGATGCACTTTGCGGAGTAAGACCCATTTTATCACAATATGAATTTTGATTATTGATCGTCTTGACGGCACCACCATTTTGTTCGAAGCAAATGCAAGTGATATGAGAGGTGGAATCTAAATTGGTCAGTAGGAGTAAGTGAGTATGGTTTTAAGCCGCTTTTAGCAATATTCCAGCAATATCATGCCGGAAGACACCAGAAATGGTCAATAGGAGGGACATACTTACTCGTAATAGCCACTGATGGCGCTATGATCGAGCCAAGAAATTCTAGCCTGGTTTGGCAAGGATGGAAACTGGACTTTCACCGTCAGTTAAGTCCCTTGCTTCAGGAAGATGGATAGATCCCTGACAGGAGCTTATGCAGAGTCGATGACACCAGCAGCCCTGTTGCTAGGCTGACGTCATAGGGCATTGTTACATCAGTGTATCTTGCAACAAGAATTCACAAATTTCACCATTGGATATGTGACGTGTTTGTAAACTTTGTGGTGCTGAATTCTAAAGGTAGGCTGTTATTTAGTATTAAATTTATACTATTAATGTGTAGATGTCTGCCTATTTACACACGACAGTGAAATATTGTATTCAAACGCTTGACCTAGTTTATGATGGAAATTACCATAGTTCGATCAAATGAGGTTTAAGAGTTATAAACGGCAAGTAATAAATAAAAACTAAACTTGCTCACATTTAATACCAATTTTATGAAAGTTGTTAATGGGTTGAGTATCTGACAAGCGAAACCAGACACCATAACTTTTCACTTGTTGTATAAAATTGGTATTACACTGGAGCGTGTTTAGTGTGCTATATTTTCGGGATAAAATCGAGAAATGTGCCTGAAAGTGGAGATACCACACAAGACCTAGGAGTCCTCTTAAAGCAACTGACCGCCTCTGTGGTCTAGTGGTAGAGCGTCCGCCCGGAGAGCGGAAGGTCCAGGGTTCGATCCCCGGCCACATCATACAAAAAGATGTTAAAAGATTGTACTTGTTGTTACCCTTTCTGGCGCTCAGCATTAAGGGGCTAAAACAAGGACTGGTCGGCTCGGAGTCAGTATACTGTGTCTGAGTGGGGTATTCATGTTAAACTGCGGCATGGTATCTCAGTGAGCTAGCACTATAATGCGGCATCAGTCCGGACTAGTACAAGCAGCCACACATACATGCACGTCGCTATATAAGTGCAATAATCTTGGACGCGACGTTAAACCCAATTTCACCTCACCTCACCTCACATCCTAAAGCAACTGTGTGTTATGAGTTGACTGATGGGGAATAGCATCACCTGCTTCAGCTGACATGTGGTTATACCTCGGAGCCATCATCAGCTTCTAGGTGGAAATTAATCCTGAAGAACCAAATTTTATAAGCCAAGAGCTCTTCATGGCACTCTCGTCAGATTGTGTGAGGAGTGAAGGAATCAAGTATTTTCAATGGCAGTGCTTACAGTGTCCTGAACAAGTACCTCTGTCTTGTTGTTTGACCTTGTCACTGTGCAGGCAACTCTAACATGGATTCTCTATACACATGTATAGAGGGAGACTTTTGGCAATTGACTGACCCACTGTAATGAAGACTTGCTCAGATGTAGACTTCATATTGGTAATCTCTTATCAATAGTTGGCGGAATGTTTTGTCTGAAATTGTAAACTGAACAATATGACCTCCCAGGTATTGTAGACTGATCCTTCGTGTGGATTTCCACTTTTTGCATGTTTACTTCCTTGTTCTATCGACAGGAGGCAAGATATGTTTTTGTTTGTTTGTTATTTTAATGCTGCACTCAGCAATATTCCAGCTATATGACAGTGGTCTGTAAATAATAGAATCTCGACCAGACAATCCAGTGTTTGACATGAGCATCGATCCATGCCGTTTGGATACGGATGACATGCATCAACCAAGTCAGCAAGCTTGACCACCCAATCCTGTTATTCGCCTCTTACGGCAAGCATGGGTGATTGAAGACCAATTCTAACCCAAATCTTCACGAGTCAGCAAGATATATAAATGTAGTGATATTTAATTTAAAGTTAATATAGCTGAAAGAATCCCTTTGATAAAATTCTTTTACAAAATTTAAAAAAAGAAGATATAAGTTACAAACTTATTTCAGTCTAAGCGAGCGTTTTCATTTCTTCATTCTTTTACTGTTGAGGCTTTTCCATAAATCAAGAGCACTATTTTAATAGTTGAAGGATTTTGTTTTTTACAGCTTTATGAAAAAAACAGTATTTTCAACCCTCATTTACTCGCCTTCTCACTTACCTTGTTCCTAACCCCCATTTTCATCACCCGCCATGCCACTCTCTTCCCCCCTTCCTACACTCTTCTGGAAACCCTCCGTACCTCCTCACTACCCCACTTGTCACCCCCATCCCTCCCCCTTCACAACACCCTCCGTACCTCCTCACACTACCCAACTTTTCACCCCCATCCCTCCCCCTTCACAACACCCTCCGTACCTCCTCACACTACCCCACTTTTCACCTCCCATTCCACCCCTCCCACATCCCCTATTGTTATAACACCCTCTCTACCCTGTGACACTACCCCACTTTTCACCTCCCATCACCACCACCCCTCCCCCATCCCCTATTGTGAACACCCTCTCTACCCTGTGACACTACCCCACTTTTCACCTCCCATCATCACCACCCCTCCCCCATCCCCTATTGTGAACACCCTCTGTACCCTGTGACACTACCCCACTTTTCACCTCCCATCCCACCCCTCCCACATCCCCTATTGTTATAACACCCTCTCTACCCTGTGACACTACCCCACTTTTCACCTCCCATCCCACCCCACCCCTCTTCCTTCCCCCATCCCCTATTGTGAACACTCTCCGTACCTTCTCCCTACCCCACTTTTCACCTCACATGCCGACCATCCTTCCTACTCACCATAAATAACTGGTCTTGGTGTACTGGAATAAGGTCAAAGAGATGTAAAGATCTATGTAAAGATATTTAATGCCATAGCTATAATGATAACTAAGTACTTCAAGTTTCACAAATTCTATAAAATTACAATTGTATCTTAAGTTAAAGCCAGAGGCTCACTATATTTTCCTTTTAACAACAATCTGTTTTTCATCAAACCCGTCAAAGGCAGAATGCTATACTGACCTTTCTCCTGAAGCCATAAAATATTTGAATTGTAAAGAAAATATTTCACATTGTCTGACTATAAGAATTGTTTATATAACGATTGAAGCGACCCTTGAGAGACATGTCCATGCAAGGCAGTATTCCGTCCTGTGTTACAGAGCTGAGTGAGGCAAACGGTCGTACATGTAAATATGCATTGTGTAGTAGGAGGATTATTGATAAACTTGATGTTGGGATTACTTTAGATAATCCCAGGCTGGGATATAGAAGAAGTGAGGAGACAGACACAAACCCCCCTCCCCCAGCATTCACCCCCCACCCCCTGCCTGGGTGCCCACATCCCTGTGGTGACATAATTACTCTTAGTCGGTGATAACGTCTGTGATAAAGGGGACTTAGTTGATGTAAGTTTGCAAGCTGATGCTTGAGAGTGGAGGAATTAAGAGATACGTCTACGATCATATCAGCACATATCATCGGAATATCCCCAGGGACGGAGTTATCTGGTGAGTCCGCCAGCACTTTGTGCCTCGCGCTGTGTTGGCGATGTGTTTGCTGGAGGAGGAGGTGTAGTCACAGAAGTCTGTACTTCTCCATGTAACATTTGTGTGGTCCGACACAGCAGGATTTTCTCCTTATTGAAGATTCCTGAAGAAATCAGCTTAGTTTGGATATCCGTGGTTTGATTGAGTGAGGATGCTGAGCTTGTGGCAGAGTGAAGGTGAGACTCATCCCCATTGTTGTGTCATCGCTTTTATTAATCCTCCGTGTTACACAGAACATCAACTGTATTGTCCTTGGAGCGGCCCGAGTGATATTACTTAATGAAATGCTGCCAGGGCTTGGAGTTGGATAGAAATGTCCTTTTGTCGTTTTCCAATAAAACCTGTTTGGTTGCTGAGTAATCAAGTGTTTCTTTGGGATGTGGTAGTTTGATGAGGAATTCCTTAAAGTTTTTAAGTAGCGTGTTTTCAGTTACAATTTTTAAGGTTATTTCCAGTGTTTCCAAACAATAGAGGAAGTTATTGTTCCATCTCAGAAATGGTTACTACATCTTTATCATTAGGCCCATGTTAAAATAAGGATTTTTTAAAATGTTTTTCTTTTCTTATAGAGAAAATCTAGAAGACCTTAAAATGTAGAGTTTAAAAATAACTTCCTCAAACCTGATATGTTGGTGCCAACTGTCTTGTTGAGTCAAGAAGACAGTTGGCACCAAAATATCAGGTTTGAGGAAGTAATATTTTTGTTGATATTCTTGGGCAGTACGCTAAGATATAGCAGACAAGATGCAAAAGAGCCATGAGGTATGTTTGTTAAAAAATGTTCTTGCAGTAATGGTTATAGAAAAAGTATTCAACAAACATAAACTGTGGGGCAAACGAAAGTATTTACCCCTGTTTAATGTTGGCTGGAATGAAACAAACAGGAAACGGTTATTCAATGGTGATGTATTTGATACGGGTGTCTTTGTTGTGTTTTGGACCATTGCAGTGTTTTCATCCTAATGTTTTGATAAGGTTTGTAATTAATTGGTCACATCCAATTTTCAAATGTATGCTTTCTTTTGCCTGGCAATATATGTGAGTGAGTGAGTGAGTGAGTATGGTTTTACGCCGCTTTTAGCAATATTCCAGCAATATCACGGCGGGGGACACCAGAAATGGGCCAATATATGTGACCAACTATGAGATAAGGGACCTTATGTGTGACAAAAACACATTTTGACTTCTTATTTTATTTTAAAACTACAGGATCTTAGGACCACAAAAATATAACTGATAATCTTCAAGTCATATTTATAACAGAAACACATGGCACCAAACACTTGGATTCATTTTCTGCAAAATCCCATTTTCAGACTTATGACCGTTTATGTAATAATTGCGGATTTTAGATATAATGTCTGATTAATTGAAAGTAGACATGTATGCTGAAATGCTTTGAAATAATGATTTTATTACATTACTACATTACATAAGGGACATAGAGTGTGTTTTTCAAAATGTTGATATTTCACTTACTGTTATCGTAACCCTTTGCAAATTAACACAACTTGTCTTACAAATATGTCATAAATCATGTATAGAGAAGATATTGAATTGCTGAAAAGCGAAGCGAAAATGTCAAAAACTAAAATGAAAATGTCAAAAACAAAAACGAAAAGGTCAAATACTAAAATGAATATGTCAAAAACAAAAACGAAAATGTCAAAAACAAAAGCGAAAATGTCAAAAACGAAAATGAAAATACAGAAAACTATTTCCACCGCGGTGATAATATTCCCAAATTTTCTAAACAAATATACCAAGATGAATTGGACCACAATGTATTAACTATTAGATTATCATCCAAATTGTTGAACTGTGAGGCAGGTGTCTTGTTTTATATATTTTATCATAATGTTCCGTGAACATTAATCTGCTGTGATTCATATGAAGCTTGAATGGTTGATAAAACTGTATATAGTGTGTTTTCTTCCTGTAGTATTTGGGAACAAGACATAAATTTATAGAAGCTGGGGTGTTTGATAGCGAGGTGAGTGGGGATGAACGCCTAATAAATAATTTCTTATGGCATAATGAAGAATTCAAAACATGAGAAACTAGAATACAAGACGCATTAAAATTGGCAAATAAGGGATTTTTTTTAATTTTTTCAGTTTTGGAAAATTGCACATGTTTATAATCACTGGTTTGTCTGGTCCCGTCTGTTATTAACAGGCTGCTGTCATATTGCTTGTATATATCTGATTGCCGTGTTAAACAATCAGTCAGTCAGTGCATTTAAGCAGCTGTTAGCTTATTGGTTGTTTAGTTTCCTCCATAAAACAAGAAGAACAATTATCATCTGGCCTGAGCTGTAATTCTTACACCTACCAACCAACTCAAATCAAACCCTGAAAGCTATTTAAATGTAACCACAAGTTGTTTAGGCAATATAAGATGTGTTGAGGTTACCAAACCTTGAAAGTAAATTACACGAATGCCTGGAAGTTATTAAATTGTTGAATATCCATCTCAGAGTATTTCAGATTTTATGGCATATAAATATCAATAGACAAGTATTATTGATTTTGTCTGAATACAATTCATGTGCTGTATTGCCCAATGCGAACTGGTGATATTGAACCTATACAATCAAATACCAAATGTTAGAACTATTTGTACAGAACTGAAGTCTCAATTCATCAAAGTATTCATGTCATAGTAATATGGGTTTGGTAATGAATATTTGTATGACCAGCATGTATTAGGAACCGTATTCGACATAATAAGCGCCCAGGGCGCTCTCAAAATTAGAAATAGGGGACTCTTATTAGAATATTATTTGGTAAAAAAAAACAGTTGAAAGATTAATTTCGTGGTTTATGCTGACAGCCTGAAATGTTTATATACGAGAGATATATTTTTCCAGAATTTAATTGCCCATAATTAAGGGTGCATATAACACACGAGTGCATATTATACGCGAATAAATAAATATTGTGTACATTGATCAATCGGAAAGGGTGCTAATTGAGATTGTTCACGAGCCAATATATTAACGAATATCGCTGTGGGCGCTTATTAGAGCGGTGTGCTTATTATGTCGAGTACGGTATAAGATGACATATGACTGTGAAATTGAAATTCTGAGTACATTTGATAGGTCTGCAATGCTGCCTAATATGGATCTTCCTGATCTTGTCGAGCGTACGTGAAGTTCACGGCTTGTTACTTTTAACTGCGATAAATTAAGTTATAGCTAATTGTGACAGTTTCTTTCATGATCCTGGTGTCAATTGTATCATTAGGTCATGTTCTGATACAAAACAAATTATTGCCAATGCATGTATAAAAATACATGATATATTGTGGGAAAATGAATTGTAAAATGCTCTTTTCTGGCTCCATGTACAAGAATTCTGACACAATATGCTTTGGTTTACGCACTCATTATTCCCATTGTTGTCACAGGTGACATGTTTTCATGTGTCAAATTGTTTACATGACCTTTGACATTTGAAACATTACATAAAGAATAAACGACTGGTGGTTGTTATTTATTGTACAATAAAACCCTGCAGGGAGAAGAAACAAGGAATTAGTGGATGACGAACAACTACTACGAGTTGTTAATTCTTATATGAGACATCAACATTACTCACAGTCTCTTTTAGGATGTTAATAAACTTGACAAGCTTTAAAAATTATTTACCCATATTGAAATAATGATGACTCCTTGAACACAATCTGACTTCAATCCACAAAGTCAGAGAAGTCCATTTTATGAACAGGGGGGTTAAGTTTGGTATTTCCCTGCATATTCACACAATTCTCATGTTTATTATCTGTACCTTTTTGTATTTTGTACCGATTGTTATATCTCTCATATGGCCATAGCGTTTATCTACGTTGCCCAGATGCATCTATTGGGAACAACTCACTAGACATGTCCTTCTCGAAAATAACATCGTCGACTTTATGACATCTTAAAGTTGCAAGCGAAGGTTCGAGTTTCTAGAATGACGTCATGAGAGAACAAATTGTTTTAGCATGAAATAAACCACACTTTGTTCTTATTGTTCATTCCGATTTATCACATAGCTATGTTATATATGGTTTTATAAACTGTTCAGTAGATGCACTGAACATAAGTCCTCATTTCTTCTTCCGGTTTGAAGTTAGTAAAGTAGATGTAACATTGATTATTTAGCTTTACACTTTTTTACTGTCTAGGGCATCTAAAGAGAGTGGTTTTTTTTATGTTTTGGATAGATTTCTTTAGCAAAAGTAGGTAAATGCCGATAAGTATATTTTGAAGAGCAAATAATACCTTTGGTCTGGTGGAAGTCATGTATTCAGAAAGTCATAATAATGTCTACATGAGTGCCGCCTCTGCCCTCCTCTCCCTCGGGGCCGGAAGGGCTGTTGACTCAGACACTGTGACTAGCGGTCCCTTTGGTACAGCGTCCTCCCACAATGCTGAGGGACACTTATGGATGGATGAAGAGGGAATCCATGTGTTAGTTTCATTACCTCCTATTCCTTCTACCTTGTTCCCTCTTCACCTATAGATGTCTCAGTCATGTCTTACTAGGGAACACATCTAGACTACATGAATGAGTGAGTTGGGTTTTAACTCCGCTTTGAACAGTATTCCAGTTATATCACGTGTGTCAGCTTAATGTGGGAGGAAAGTGATAAGTTGAAACCCATTAGCATGGGTATGGTGCTGACAAACCTAGAATCATAATCCGGGTGAACCAGGATTTGAACTCACAATCATAGGTTTCTGGTGCCGCAAAGGGACACAACTCTGCAGAGTGAATTGCTATGCCTTAGATGCTCCCCAGTTTTAATACAGAAGTGCTGGGGTAGTCTAGTTGTCAAAGCGTTCATTTATCATTACCAAAGGTCCGGGTTCGACTTTCCACATGAGTACAATGTGTGAAGCCCATTCCTGGTGTTTAATCACAATTGCTGGTCTATGGCTAAAAGCAGTGGAAATTATTATTTTACTCACTCACTTATTATAGAAGTCTTGTACTGCAGGTGTTGTACTATAATCGCTATTTCCAACTTGTCGCACAATGTGTCCATATATATTAGCTACTTTCACACATGGCGTTCTATAGATTTATGAACAGACTCTTTCATGAGAATTAAATATTATTTTTTGGAATTTATTCGAACATTCGAACATTCAGCCTTTTTATCATCATAATATGTGGAGGCA